CTCTGAAGAAACGGTAGGAAGCGATGGATGGTTGGGCTATAACTTGCTACTATATCTGGAGAGCTAGGAATTGGAAGATACATAACAAGGAATTCCAACTGGAAGAGATTATTAACACAATTAAATTTCATTGTTCCACTTTTATAGGAAGAGGATTGTGTAGTTTAGGGGTTTTCTAGTTGTCGTTTTGATGTGTAAAAGTTCTTGATTTTGATGATATGAATGAACCACTTTCAGTTCAAAAACTTATAAGTTAGTTAATGACATGTTTCTGTGTGTTTATAAGCTGACTTAAAAGCTGCCTATAAGCAAGAAAAAATAGGCTTTAGATACTTATTTTTAAGCCAGTTTTTTCGTTTCTATGTTTTGACTAGATTATTTGTAAAATTATCTCTCACCATTTACAAATATTTACAAATGATTTATCTATCATTTAAGTCATTTTATTTTTATGAAAGAATATGTGACTTATAAGCAGCTTATAAGTTAGAAAAACTATTAGAGTCTATCCCACACCGGAAGTTGAATAGAAAAATAATCGTTATATATAAGCTCTTGAGTTTAACTAAGTAATCAATTGTCTGCATGTAGTATGTGAATTGCTATTAATGGCGTCTGGTGACTAAAACACTTCAACGACAAACAATGTGGGATTAAAACATATGCTAGAGCAATGTGATCACTTTTGACACTAAAGACAAACATATATACTCAGGATATAATCTTTTCATATAGAAAAACTCAATATACGTATTTGTCTTAAGAGTCAAAACTAACATCCCCAAACTTAACTTCAGTTTTTCTTTTATTTCATACTCGTTTCATTTTAAAATATTTTCTCTCTATAAAAGTTCATGTCAAACTTTAATTGTTAATTTCTCATCATATAATACAGCTTAATGTAGTGGGTTGTTCAATTCTTTGAAACCAACCAAGTCTATTCAGTGGGTTACGGCTTGGATAAAGCTATTTGTACCTCATTTGTACACCGCAGGTTTGCACTAACATTTTGTATTGGTGTAAAACTAATTTTTGTTAATGCACCAACACTTTGTGTCCGTGTAAATTTTTGTTAACGCACCAATACTTATATCGGTGTAAACCATCAAAATGTTTGTGTATAATTGCGGTGTACAAATGAGGTACAATTTTTGTTGTAAGTGTAGCATGGTCCTTATGGCTTTATTGAAACTACCAACCAATATTTCCAATTTTGATAAAGCTATTTGTACCTCAAGAATTTGTACCTCATTTTGTACACCGTAGGGATGCACCAACATTCTATGTTGGTGTAATACTAAGTTTTGTTAACGCGGTGTACATTTTGTGTCAGTGTAAGTTTTTGTAACGTACCAACACTTTGTGTTAGTATAAACAATCAAAATGCTGGTGCATATATACCTTTGGTGTACAAATAGCGTACAAATTTTAGGGTACATGTAGCATGCTCCTTTCAATTTTCAACACAAAACAAGAATTGAAAAACATTATGATAAAATCAATATGTTTTTCCTTTACAGGCAATAAATCTTTTCATACTGTCTGTCTCTAAAAGAATATGATAATTTGACTTTTTTAGTCAAATTGTGACATCATCTAACCGTGAATTAAGGAAAAATATATTTAGTTATATTGTAAATTTAATAAACTTATATTTATTTTAAAATATCAAAATTTTATAATATTTAAGTATTTTCAACTATATTTAGTTTGTGGTCAAACGATGCCACAATTTAACTAAAAAAATTAACTTGTGATAATCCTTTCAGGACCGTGGGAATATTTTATTTTTGGAACATCCTAAATGTGCTCTAGTGAGGAAAAAATATGGTCCATTTTATTTTTCTTTCATCTACATAAATAACGATGGAATAGTTTCACATTTTTTTTAGTAATCATAGTGAACAATTAAATGTGAAATCTTATTACCACATATAAACTACTATTAGCATAAAGGGGCCCTACATGGGACACCTTTCCTTTTGTGGAAGGGCTTTTTTGGCTTTAAATGAGTGGCTGCAGTAACCCACACTTGAATCACCTCAGAAGACTTAGTTAACAACAAAGTGCAAGACTCATTTTCTGTGTTCTCTTTTGTGGAGAAGTCTTCTTCACCAAACTGTGAAATCTGAAATGAGATTATCTTGTTTCTGTATCTTGCATCTGATGAAATCTGCATGTGGATTTTTTTAATTTTTTAATGTGCCATTAAATGAATGGTAAAGACTAATGTATGCACTTGATACTGTACTCAATCACGAAGAATATATACACGTTCATCGATCCAAGATCAGATCAAACGAGAGTAAGGTATGCATAATTTGTTCATACTTTATCGCCGAAACTAGGAGTACTCAAACCTAAACACACTCTTTGAGCTTGTTTATTTCATCACTTATTTTTATTATCTATTATTTATTATTATTAGAATTATCTTATATCAGATCAGATCAAATTCGATCAGAAAGAACTTTAAATATAATTGTAACCAAATCAGATCAAATTAAAACTTATTTTAATTCAATCGGACCAACTAGATCAAATAAAAAGAACAAGCCCTTGTGTAGTGCGCAACTTTCTCCCTCCATTGAGCCACACTTTACGTGGTTCGAACCAATTAATAAGAGCATGAACAATGGCAAGTAAAAAAAGAATGCCACACGCTGACATGACAGAAATCAACCAATAAAAAATGGTCCAGTCACAGAGTGGCAAGTGAGTAGAGTGGTACACCCCCTACAGTGGCAAGTCGTTACTTTTGTCACTTTTTAAAATTTTTGTAATGTATTTTAATTATTAAAAATAATTTTTTCTATTTGTTTCATTAAAAAAATATTTCTACTTCCTTAAAAAAGAGTATTAGAAATTATTTCTTAGAAGTGCACATGCAGAAAAAAGGTTAATGTATATCTACTTACTAACAATAGAAGTGCTCACCGCTCTCAATTGTGAATATTTAACTGAAAAATATGGTGTTTCATCACGCTTTTGTAGCAGAGTCTAGAAAATACTCTTCTAAAGAGATAAGAGAACGGTGGCATAGTCAGCATGAGCTATACCTGGGGCTTTTCCTTCGATGCCATTTCAGATTTGAGTGTTTTGAAACTCCACATGTGGTCCACTAAGAAATAGACATGTAGAAACAATATTCCACATCAAATTATTCTTTTTTATTACAATTGGCCCCAAACCTAAATTGAATTATGTTTCTTTCCTTCACGGAAATGAGAAATGCTTGGTTCACAAACACAATGGTCACAAATTTTACAAACTTACTATTTGTGACCTCCAATAAAAAAATTAAATAGTCTAAAATAATTTTAAATTAAAAATTTAAACCATAAATAATAAGTTTATGAATTTTGTGAGCACTGTTTCTGTGAATCTAGCATTGCTCTAACTAGATTAAATGTATCTCTTTGATTTTTGACTGCGTGAGTACTCGTGGAGACCGAGAGTCCGAGACTATAAATGGGTCATTAAGGTAGAATGGCATATTTATAAATAAGTCGAGAAAGGAGGTTCAGATTTGAGAATATATCCACGCGTCTTACGTGGAAATGAAAATTACTCCCTCGCACCCATTTTGAAGGGCCTATTTGAGCTTACAATATTTGATCAAATATGTATTTTAAAATTACATCTATTTTTTTTAAAATAAAAGGTGATATTGCTATATTATTTTATCAAATATGTAATGAAAATAGTTAAAGAAAGTTAGTGAAATATGATTATGTAAATTATATATATGCAATTTAATTTGGAACAAATATACTCCCTCCGTCCTAAAATATTCTTCTCACTCACTTTTTATCCGGTCAAACTTTAATCACTTTCTTTACCTAATTTCATTAGATATTTGATAAAATAATATAATCTTGTCACCACTTGTTTTGTAGAATTTTTTATGTAGTTTTTAAATATATAAATTTTATTTTTTAATTTTACACCTACCATCAAATAAATTGAATTTAAAATAAAATTGGTCAAACCTCGTAAAATGAACCGGGAAGAATATTATAGGACGGATGGAGTAATTTTTTAGATTTGACTCTCATGAACTTTGGGAAACATTGAAAAATGAAAAAAGAGATTATAAACGGTTGAAACTTGAAAGGAGAGAAACTTTTTAACCACATATTTTTTTTGAAGCAAATAACCACATATTTTTTAAAAGAAAGTAAAATAACATTTTAGAATAGACAAAAATAATAATAATAATTAGGAAAAAGACTAAAATAGAAATAAAACATAGAGAAAATACCAAAATTTTATTTCCAAAATAGGAGTTACATTATCAATAATATCAACATATAGTACTAAAGAATATTAGAGAATGCGAATATATAATGTGACAGTACAAACTTCTATTTTGAGATAAAAAGATATCACTTCTATTATAGAAATTTGGCGATAACGTATATATTTCACTCTTATTTTGTAGATTTGTTTAAAAATGATTATAGGAAAAAGGGAATACGGAGTGTATAAAAACAATGATGCTATTTGCACACACCACGTTCGAACCCCACTTTGTACACCAAAGCTTTGCTCGGATACAAAATGCAAGTGTCACACCAGTATAATGACAGTGTTACACTTCCATTATGACAATGTTGCACTTGCATTTTTTGTTGATGCAAAGCTTTAGTGTACAAAGTAGCGTGCTAGCAGCACAACCCGTATAAAAATAAAAAATCTAGGAATACACTAAAAATATTTACATATTAGCAATCTCTCAACCACATATTTTTTGTCTATTTACACTCTTTTATCCAAATAAAAAAAAAGAGCAACGAGAAAGCTACTGTGGTGCATAATTGGGGTACACTTTTAATTTACCTATCTTTCATAAAAAATTGGGAGTAAGGTGTAACCCCTTATTGCGTACACTTTTGGTCTACCTATCTTTCATTTAAAAAAAATAAAATAAAATACGGTGTAGCTCCCTTATTGCATACATCTATATAAGGGAAATAGTAAGGCCCAATTTCTACCACCGAAAAGCAGAAACGCTTCTTCTCTTCTCCTCCCTCTCCAAACTCCAAAGCCCAGCTCTTTCTTCTTAGCTACTCCATATTCCAGAGCATAAGAAAAAAATGCAAGAATTTCAAATTCGATTAGCTTCTTAAGGACATAAACGACCGAAAAACCTATAAATCCTCTTGATTGGCTGCTCGCAATTTGGAGTCTCTCCGGTACATTTCCACCCATTTCATTCATTCATTCATTTGTATGGCTGGACTGGCATTTTTTCTTACTTTTTCTAGCAGGGTACTAGGTTCATTGTTTTGTTTTCAAGGTTGGGTTTTCAGATTTGTTTTTTTTTTAGATTTTACATTACTTGAATGTGTTTTCTCATGAGCATTTCTGCTTCATTTTTAAAAAAAAATAAATTATTTTTTGAATTTTTCTTAAGAGATACTTGAGTAAAATTTCATAAGGGCCCTTTTTTCTGCATGTGCATTTCTTTTCACCTAAATAGATAATTTCCATCGTTGCTTAGGAAGATATGGTGCTTTAGTGCTCATAAATGTCTATTGCTTAAAATTTGTGTAAACTTTTTTTTTTTTGCGAGTTGGTCAATTCGTATGCTAAAAATTGAGATAAGTTTGATGGTTCTTATAAAAAGTCTGTGTTTATAAACTTGTCATAACTAATTATAAGATTTTTTTAACTTATAAATCAACCGATCATGCGTTTCATAAACTTATAAGCTATTTCTAAATAAAAAAAATAAAGTCTTATCCACTTATTTTTAACTCAGTTTTTTCGTTTCTGCGTTTTAACCAAATTATTTACAAAACTATCCTTTACCCCAAATGACATGTCTATCATTCAAGTTATTTTACTTTAACGAAAGAATATTTAAATTATAAGCAGCTTATAAGTTAAAAACGGCTTATCGGAAATAAGCCAATAAGCTCCCACAAGAGAAACACGCTCTAAGTTCTATTCTATTAAACCAATAACAAATTTCTTCAAAGGAGTGAAAATTAAGCCTATTAAGTTTTTAAATATATGTGCTTGGTTTTTTTTAATTCAATATAATTTGGCTTAGGAAACCTTATTGGTGAAATCCTTTTTGTTTCTAGCCATTCCTATTTTGCAATACTTTCTGAAAGCATAACCATTTAGAGTTGTATCTCTTCTCAACTTTGTTTACAAAATTTGTGTATACACTTTTTAAGGAGTATCTTTTGTGTTCCAAACATTATGCTTTTGAGATTGAATATGATAAGATACTTAAACCTGATGTATTATGCTGAACTTTCATTTCCCTAACTTGGGTCGAATTTGAGATTGTGTTGCAACTAAACAGAGTGGCTGGTGTGGGATATAATAACTTGATCATGGTTGCCACTGCTGCTACTGCTGCGTTTTTCCCGGGCACTCAAGTGCCCCTTGAATCTGGAGTCAAGACATGTAGAAAGTTTGGAGCAACTGTGTCTTCAAACAAAGTTTCTGAAGGCATTAAGTTAAGATCTTGTAGCTCTGGAAACGTGCAAGTCGGGGCCAACGCAAAAGTTCCTAGTAAGGTCAATGGAGCAGTTGTAGGTGTGATGGATGGCGTCAATAATGATGATGATGAGTTGGCGTCATCATCACCCTCAAAGACATTTATCAATCAGCTGCCAGATTGGAGCATGCTCCTTGCTGCCATAACAACTATTTTTTTGGCTGCTGAGAGGCAGTGGATGATGTTAGATTGGAAGCCGAAGCGCCCTGACTATCTTATCGATCCATTTGGCTTGGGGAGAATCATGGAAGGTGGCATTTTTCGTCAAACTTTCAGTATCAGGTCTTATGAAATAGGCGCTGATAAGACTGCATCAATAGAAGCAATGATGAATCATTTACAGGTATATTATAGGCATTCATAAATGTTATGATTGGCTGGGTTATTAAACTCAAGTACTTTTTAGGTGCAGGGCCTAGAAAGAGTGAAATGGTTTTACATAAATGCCGTATCATTTTGTCTTGAGTAGATATTGATTCATTCAAGCTGCAGGAAACGGCCCTGAACCATGTGAAGACGGCGGGAATCATGAGTGAAGGGTTTGGCACAACTCAAGCAATGTGCAAGAAAAAACTGATTTGGGTAGTCAGTAAAATGCAGGTTCTCATGGATCGCTATCCTGTTTGGTAGGTTTTTCTCTTCTACTCTACTTACACGCGTTGCATGAGTGGACTTCTATATTGTTGGCATATAAAAACCTTTCTTGGGCCTACAACTACAAGCATGTACTACTAGAGCCATGTTGATCAAGAGGTCACGAGTTCGAAACTCACCGCCACCTTTTTTTTTTAAAAAAAATTAAGGTTTCACGTGCATGGCTCGAAGCGACCACACCTGCACGTGAGGGGGCATGTTATAATATAAAAACCTTTCTTGGGTCGAGTATTTAGTAATCTCCCAGCTTATTCATTCAGTGTTTTTTACTCTCTTTTCGCTTGTGATCGGAGGATTGCAAGGACAAGTATGAGGACCTTAAATCTGAGCTTTACTTTACTTGGGAACAGGGGTGATCTTGTTCAAGTAGATACTTGGGTTTGTGCAGCAGGGAAACATGGTATGCGACGTGATTGGGTTTTCAGTGATTCTCATAATGGAGAAACTTTAATGAGAGCTACCAGGTAGGAAACTGTTCTGTGTTTACTTTGGATTCCTTAATTCAATTTAGCATGATTAGTAGCGGGAAGATCTTCTCGGATTCTCCTCTGAGTGTTACAAATAATCATTTTTACATAGATAAAATGCATTTAGCTCTTAAGTATCCCATATTGATGAGTTATGAGAACCAATAAAGTAAAGAGTAATTTACTTAAATAGGACTAAAACATAACGACTTTCTCAATATAGGACCATATGTTTTTATTTCCCAATGCAAGACTTTTGGTCATTATGAATTAGTCATTATTTAAGTAAATGTCCATCATTACTGGACATTATTCCACCCACTAAGACATTAATAAGTCCTATTTAGGGAATAAAAAAATTTAAGTCCTAAATTTAGAAAGTCATTATGTTTTAGTCCTATTTAGTGCAAATTTCACTAAAGTAAATCATAGTAAATGTCTAACTTTCTCCCTTATTTTTTTGACTTGTGGTTGTATTATTTAATACCCTGAAATTGATAAGGGCATGATTGTTAATTTGTTTTTTCAACTACTGATTACTTTTTTTTTTTTGGCTTTCAGCGTGTGGGTTATGATGAGCCAAGAGACAAGGAGGTTAGCAAAAATGCCCGATGAAGTTCGAGCTGAAATTGAAAGGCATTTTGTGGATAGGGAACCAATAATTGACGATGATAAACGGAAATTGCCAAAGCTTAACAAAGAGACAGCAGACTGCATTCTTGCTGGACTAACCGTGCGTTTATATTGGATTCTTTTTGCCCTCCTGTATCGCGTTGTGTTGTTATTATTTTAGTGATGTGCCGTTCTTTGCTAACCTTGCAGCCAAAGTGGAGTGATTTGGATGTGAACCAGCATGTAAATAATGTGAAGTATGTTGGCTGGATGCTGGAGGTATATATTGTTCTTCTTGAAGCTATTTCTGTAAATCATGTCCTTCTGACCTCAGGGCGTAGGGTACCCCTCGATCGGTTGTAGGGTACACCATCTTCCGTTTTCAACATTCTGTATGGGTGCTAATTACGGGAACATCACTTTTTTTTCTTGCAGAGTGTCCCATTGTCAATACTGGAGAACAATGAGCTGGTTGCCATGACTTTGGAGTACAGGAGGGAGTGCGGGAGGGACAGTGTCCTAGAATCTATGACCTCTGTTTTGGGAAATATCTCCGACTCCGTGGAATGCCAACATTTGCTTCGCCTTGACAGTGGTGAAGAAATCGTTAAAGGACGAACCATGTGGACTCCAAAACTTGCAAAGAAGATTGGGACCGTGGACCAGCTCGAAGGGCAAAGTCACTAGCTCAGTGCTTCCCTGCCCCTTCATTTATGGGTCATGATTCCCCTCTGTTCTGTTCTTCTCATAGGGTACCCCCCCTATGTATCAGCGTCTTTCATCCTTGTGTTGTATCTTGCAATATATGGGCGTTTGTATGTATAGTGATATAGACTTTGTGTTTCATTTATTATTTCATTAATATTGTCCTATAGGGCATTAGCCCTCCAAATAATTCAGCTGTGTACCCCTATTAATGGTGTTGAAATATAAAGTGTTAGTTAAACAAGCAAGATTTAGGGCATGTTTGGTTGGAGGAAGGGAGGGGTGGGAAAGGAAACTAACGAGGAATAAAAGAATTATTTTATTTTAAAATTCAACACATCTCTTTGTTTCCATACCATCTCCTCCACTCCAACCAAACACGTCCTTAGAAGTTGTACAAAAGCTCTTTGAATTTATTGCATGCAGATTTTGGGAGGCAAATGCATACAAGCATTGTCCCATCACAATCTTCCCTCCCTTCTGGCAAGAACACACAAACTTGTGGGGTTGGAGTCAGGTCTATTGGGCCGGCATAAATGGGCCTTCCCCAACCGAAGTCTGCGGATTCGTATAATGAAAATCTGGTCCATTGGGTTATCGTCAACTTCCCTCCAAACTCGAGCTTCTTAGGCCTGTCCAGTTCAATGTAGTCAATTGTAGACCTTAGGTACTCCTCTGAGACCGCCAGCCTGGCCTCCCGAACCAACCGAGCCGTGTCTGCCAGAGGCCCATTAAGAAGCCCAATCACACTACTTGTGGCACACGCCACACCCAACGCATTGCCGTAAAACCCTTCCCTCAATGGGGGATTCTTAAGCTTCTGGCGTGCATTGACGGCAAATGTAAGCCGAAGCTCGTAGTCGCGAGGCTTCACGTCGAGGGCTCGAACCCACGACCGCCATATATGAGCCGCCATGGCATCAAATGTAGTCGACAATGAATCCCCAGCCAGGCTTTTAACAAAAGCCTGGTACTCTCGGGTAACCCGAAAACACTTTTGTGTAGGCTTTGTCTCCCAAAGACTCCTAGTCAGGGTCGACTCGTCGTCGATTCTGCTGAACTCTAGATGTGGGTATTCGACCCTCACTGGGTCCCGCGCTCGGAAAAATTCTCTGTCCCAACAGGGGTTGGGCCTTAGACTGACAAAACCTTCTCTAGCAGTGGTAGCCCATGCATTAAGAAACTGCATTGCCCCAATGCCATCACAAAGGCAATGGCACATCCTTAGCCCAAGACTGAGCCCACCACCGCTGAACTGTGTCACTTGTGCAATCAACAAAGGCATATCAATCACTTTGTAGTGTTCTTCACTTGGGAAGCTGTAAATCAGAGCCTTCCAATCAGGATTTGGCACAGTGAGATCTCCAAGACTCCCCAAACTCATTTCTGAATGTGCCTCAACTAGAACAGCCCCTTGGTTTGGTTCGAAAAACACTTCTAGTTTCCCGTTTCCACACTCTCGTAACCTACCCGAAAAAGGATAGTAAGGGACTAGTACCCTTGCAAGGGCATCTTCAAGGGTTTTTGTCACCGGTTTTGGATCACACGGTGGCCGGTAAAAGTACACGGTTGGGGTAAAGACGCGGACCCCCACCATATCATCGAGGTTTGAGAGGTATAGGGTATCCCCATGGCCTACTGGAATGGGGCCTTCTGGTAGGACAGGGGATACCCTATCAATTCTTATGGGGATGTCAAGGTCGGGGAAATGCATTTCTTCAACCCTTGGATTCATGATGAACAAACAACTATATTTGTATGAAGTGGAAGTGAGAGTAATTAAAAAGATTGAAGTTTAAAATAATTCAGTAAACATTTCAAGTATTTAATGGTGTTTGAGGGACACTTAATGCATGGGGCTTTCATGGTAATCATGTTTCTTGAATTGAACATTATAAAATAATCAAATGCTGATCCAGGTTGGTCATTTCTGTTGTGCTTGACCAGATTGTCTTTGTTTTCTTGATTGAGGATAAAATAAAATGCATAAGGCATGCATGAGCTAATTCACCATAGTCAAAACTCAACAGTGTCTTTTTAATGGAGGGGAAATGCAGAAATAAGTATCAATGTTGTGTGAGGACATCTTTTTAATAAAATTCACATTAATTTGGAATGGGATTTGGAATCCAATCCAAAATAACCGTAACTCAAAAGAATCAAACCCGGCCTGATTGATTTTTCTTGCTGAGTTTACCAAAATATGTTAGGATTTTATAAAATAGAGTTCACTATGCATTAAAAACTCGGCATATGGATACGTACGTGTTGTACACGTTTTCTATATTTAATATATGTTATATTATATGTTAATATAAAAAATACAATTTACATCAAATTGACACATATTTATCAAATGATAGTCATCAATTCTTAATAAGGTAAATTAACAGAAAGCAAAAAAAATTAAATTAAATATTTACAATAAAATTTATCAAATTTGAATATATATATATATATATATATATATATATATATATATAACATTATATATATATATATATATATATAATGTTATAAAATTAAAACTTTATAGTTTGAATTTGTATCGAAAAGAATGATGCTAAGAATTGTTTTTGGCTTTCTTCTCCTATTTTTCCATTTACAATTTTACATTTTCATTTTTTTCGTAAAATCCAAGTACAATGATACACTAATTTAAAACAAAAAAATATTAATTTAAAAAAAATGTATGAAAAACCAGTACCAGCCCTGTTCTCTCTGATATTGGAAACTGGCGATTCCAAAACTAGAGTCGGGCTAGACTGATGCTATGTCCACGCCTATTTAGGCATGGTTAAGAGGATGGGTACCGGGCTGCTGGCTTGTCAGTTCAGTCCAACCTGACAAACCCACAATTTGCCGGCACTAAACCGCCAGACCCGACAAATTTGAGAACAAGTCACACCCGAATTTCGGGAATTTTCTTCTTAGGTAAAAATTTCGAATCGTACTATCATCTTTGGGCCGCTGATGTTTCAAGCGTGTTAATTGTTTGGAGATAAACTAGCCTCACCAAAGCATAAAACACAAAACACCCCTTTCTGTCTTCGTTAGAAGTGTATCACAGCCTTGCCACTTTTTGCACCCCTATTGATCACTTGAGCTACGCACCCCAGTAGTCAAATATAAAACATTGTACGGTGGCACTATTTTTTTTGAAGAACGGTGGCACTAATTTAGAGCTGCATCATTAATATGTGAATGGCCAATATCAATTGAACCAAAACCATATGTTTATATAGCATTTTACATGGTGAACAAGAGGATGAGGGGGGGTATGCACATTCTTCGCAATTGAGGCCAACAGAAAAAAATGATGTGTATGTTCTTTGCATTTTAAGCCATAAAAACGAGGGACTTTACCGCAATGGCTGTTGGTTGTAGTGGTTCTTCTCTTTCTTCTTAGCCGCAGCGGCTACCTTTGCCCTCCTAGCAGCAGCCTCACTAGCGGCAGCTTTGGCAGCAGCATCCATCTCTTTGCTTGACTTCTTTATCCTCATGGACTGTACTTTCTTGATCTTCTCCTTCACATCAACACCCACAGCATCTTCAGCTTCCTCTTTCTCAACTCCAGTTTTGTCGTCGACAACCTCAACACCGTTTCGTTGCTCTTTGGCCTCTTTTGGTTTCTTTTTCTTCTTTTTCGCATTCTTACTCTCACCACCACCATTATCCTTCCCATCTATCCCTCCATTCTCATTCCCTTCTATTTTATCATGTGTAACACCTGCAAAGTCAACAGGCGACGAAGCTACTCAAGGAACATAGAGACTCTACTCCACCCGTCCCAAAATCATCTTCTTATTTGACTTTTCAAGGTTTTCAATATAACACAATTGTTAGAATAAGTGTCCTTCACTAGAGGGGGGGTAAATAGTGAGGCACGAGAATGTTTATAAATTTTCGCGGAATAAAAATCGCAGGGATAAAGTAAAGAGCGGAATAAAAAGGAGTAAAGGGAGCACACCAAGATTTACCCTAGTTCACCACAACTTGTGGCTAATCCAGCCTCCCGAGAGACTCTCTCGAGCTACACTACTTCCGTTAAGCTTACGGGTGCTTAACAAACCGTTACAACCTGAGAACTCGAGTCCCACGAGCCTCAATACACTTGCTCGGAGATACTGCACTCCAAGACTTCAACCCGAAGGAAAATACCTTTCCTTCGTACAACCAAGGGAAACAAGCTTCCCTAAACGTGTTTACAACACTAAGAACACTCAAGAACAAGACTCTCTTTAAGAGTAGATGTTGAGTAAACTATATACGCTCAAGAACAACTCAAACTTCACAAATTGGCTCTAGAAAGCTATGGAAAATATGTTGTTTGGATGCAAAGATAATATGAATAAAGTGAAGTGAATTGATAAGAAAAGCAGACCCAAACACCCCTTTTTATAGTGCCAAAATAGGCTCCAACGGACCAATACATTAAAGGGGTGATTGGCTTGATTTATGGGATTGAAAAGATTTGGGATCTGCAGAATATTGGCTTTCCAGCGATGTATGGAACTTACCCATCGCTGGTAAGCCAATTTTCCTTCAGTTTTGAAGCCAACAGTTACCTACCCATCGATGTGTAGATGCTTCCCATCGCTGGGTGGGAGGTTGACTTTCAAATAAGGAAAGAATCAGCCTTAAATGACTCCCAACGGTCATGCCGAACCATCGATGGTTAAGCCTTCCCATCGCTGGGTTCCCATCGATGGGTAAAGCTTCCCATCGCTGGGTTCCCATCGATGGGTAAAGCTTCCCATCGCTGGGTAAGGGCATTCTGCCTTGTGGTAATGTTGCACCAAGTCTTTAACAGCGATGGGTAGAACTTCTCATCGCTGTTTGGCATGGTTCTGGAAATCAGTTTCGTTGAGGGACTGCTTACCCATCGATGGGAAGATCTTCCCATCGCTGGGTGGCATGATTCTGGAATCCCGGGATCACTTACCCATGCATGGGTGAAATATACCATCGCTGGGTAGATGGCTAGCCCAGAACCATGGTCTAGCTCACCGGCGCTGAAACCCGACCGAAAAATGCAAAGTTCTCCAAAGTAAAAACTAAGTATATAAAACACTTATTTAATGTATTTTGATGTCAAAACAAGATTTGTAAGTTGAAAACCACGTCGTTAAGGTAAAAACCACGGTTGACCAAGTCAACACCGTAAACGGGTGGTTTTCACCAAAAGGCAAAACCGAAAGGTGGTTTTCATGATGTTTTGATTGGAGAACCATTTAAATTCATTCAAAAACAATTCCCACACAAAAAGACTCGAAAACCACTTCATTTAAGTAAAAACCACGGCTAGCTCAGTTAATGCTGTTTCACATGGTTTTTATCAAACGACAAAAAACGAAAGGTAGTTTTTGAAGTTTTTTTGATGAAAAACTATTTAAATGTGCCCAGAAGTAAAAACCAGTCATAAAAAGTTGAAAACCATTTGGTTAGTTCGGACGCCAAAAACCAACGCCGAAAACCGAATGCCGGTTTCTGAAACCCGAACGCCTGATGGCTTGGTTTTTGGTTTGGGCCCAAGTGTTTTTAATGTTTTATACATCTTTGAAAAACATTTTTATGATGTGTGAAATGCATTGAAAATAATTTTAGCCTAAAGAGCCAAGGTGTAAAGATTGGGTCGGTCTTGATCACAATAAAGACCGACTCAACGATGCTAAGACTAAGGTCTTCGTTCTTGGTCTTCGTTTGGCTCTTGTTCCCTTTCTTCTCATATTTGGTTCTCACCTTGTATATTCAATGAATTGTCTCGTTCACGGCGGTTTGGCATTATCAAAACCTGTCATAACAACGAACGCGGCTTTAGTATGAAAACGTGATAAACCCGTGTTTCAACAACAATGACCATAATTGTACATAAACAAATACGATAAAAACAAACAACCTCAATCTCAATGTGTTTGTATGGTTTGATATTTTATAGTCAAATCGGACAACCAACAACCTTTGATCATCAATTAAATAAAAATTGCATGACATATTAGTACACAAATGATTTTATTAGATTCATCTAGTAAAATAATTCCAAAATATTATTTTATTTTACTAAAATACAATGTAATATTTATTGAATTGATGATCAAAGTTGGTTTAGCTTGATTGTAAAAAAGTGAAAATGGACAAACACACTGGAACATAGGGAGTAATATTTGTAAATTACATTTCAAGAATCAAGATGAATATATTTTTACTCCATCCTACAATTAAAGGTGTGATCCGGAACAACAAACAAGAAGGTGTGAAAATGGATTAGTACTTCCCGGAAGAATAAAGAACTTAGGTTACCTGGTGCACCATCCATTTCCTCAAGTTGGTTGCACCCAAATTCTGCAACCATAGCTTCCAGTTCTTCGAGTTCCTTCTTCTTCAATTCCTTTTTAGATATCTGTCTTTGTGATTGTTTAGGTGCCAAAACTACAACAGGTGCTTTGACAATAGGCTCCTCCTCTGTCGGTACTTCTTGCTCATGATCTTGATCTTGCTCAATATCCTCATCCACTTCGTCAAGGCTTTCATCCTCAGTTTCACACTCCTTATTTTCAAAAGTACTAAGTATAATCATCCCAACATATTGAGACATACAGAGCACACCATTCCATTGCATAATATGTTCATCATGATTGCACTCTGTGATCATTTGCTTAGTATATCATGTTTATCGTATACCAATTTCATTTGAAATGAAATGATATAATAATCATAGAGGCCCAAGCATGTTGAACAGCTAGTCTTGACGCGTGATTGTGTGAAGAATATGTGTTCTGAACTAATTGAATGTGAATAAATAAATGGGGATAATGCAGGCAAACTGATCACTCTAAACAACTTAATTAAAAATGAAAAAAAATCAAAAGGGTGATATTGTCCTTCATTATATGACTTAAACCATAATTAAAAAACTGTTAACAATTAAAACTTGAAAATTACTGTATATTACAAGTTACATATGCTATGTTCTTATGTAAAGATAAGATTATTTACTCATAATCATTATTGGTTAAAGCATCATTCAGATTCTATCTGTTTGTCAAGGAGTGTGGACTACTTGCAAACATTGAACAATCCATAATATAATGGGAAGAACATAAAGATAGAAAAAAATAAATTATAACAGTGAATTGTTGTGAAACAATGGCTTGAATATGAGTTCAAATGTTCTTGAACCCAGTAGCTGTACACAAAAGAGGAAGATCAATGAGTTCTCATCTTCCATTTTGTTCTTTGGCACAAGCTTCTTTTCACTTATCTCGGGCTTTATTCTCAAACCAGCAAAATTCAGAACAAATGACAATGCACTAATAAGTATAAACATGAGGAGAAAATCCAAACCTCTAGAACAAGAGACGGCGCACTTTCGTTTCCCTTGGTTTGCTGCTCCTCAACTGTTGTTGCTGCTGCGCCCCACGCAACTTGAGGGGGAGCTGTTGTAGCATAGTAATCATCCTCACTTTCATCTTCCACATCAGCCCAGGACTTGGCTATCAGGGGCGCCGGAGCCCAGAAAACTTTCGACTACTCGGTCTCCTTCTTGGACGAACTCTTGCCCTTGGACTCTTTGTCGGACTTCTTCTTCTTCCTTAGAGTTCCGAGCGCCGCGAAAACGTTTGTGCTGTTAATCACCAACTGGTCTTCCTTCTTGTTCCCCACTCCCACCATTTTTCCTCCTTAACGCAGCTCACTTCAGGCAGCAGATGGCAGTATAGACACACTCCGGTCGAGGAAGGGTAGGTAGATAGAAGATTAGGGAATTTTATTACAGGATCAGATAGGAATGGATGATAATTAGGGTTTGAATGAGAAATGAGAAGACGGAGAAGAAGGGATAGAAATATGGACAGGTGGACAGCGGATTTCTTGCCTGAATTTGGTTCAATCATTTCTACACTTTCGGTCTTTCGCCATGTTTGCCAAACCGCATACGCCTCTTTGGCAAATAATAAAATGTTCACTTATAACTGTTATAGGTTGAGGATAGCAATATAAATTTTCAATTATAACACTAACAGATAATCATTCAAATCCTTAGAGTAAAGACTATTTTTACAAGATAATTTCTAAAAGTTAAAAATCTTCATTCTAAAACATTTCAAAACGAACGATACAAAATTTCATGTGAACTCTATTGACAAGACATATTTGCCAAACCAATGTGTGTTGTTTTAACAAAGTTTGCAAGCCAAATAGTGTACTCGAATTTTTTTCTAGGTGTAAATCTTCCATTGTCTGGCTTTGCGATGCTTCGTGGATGTGGGTATTTTTCTAGTGCAAAACAACACTTCGTTTGGCTGCGTGCTTTTTGTTCCGATGGGGATCTACCTGGCAGCTGCAAATGGTGAGAAGAGGGGAGCATAGGATCCACTTATAGCGGACCTAAGTCCATTACAATTATGTGGACCTTATTGATGTGGACTCCTTAGTATTTGTATTAGTATTATGATTAAGATTAGGATTATGATTAGGGGATTAAGATTTTAGGGGTTAAGATTAAGATTAGAAATATGATTACGATTAGGGGATTAGGACTATGATCATGATTAACATTAGACGCATTAGATGGGGTGAAATGGACACTTTTCCACATTAATTTCTAAACCCAACAAGTTTTGTGAGAATCCAGAAATTAGACGTGAACCTTGGGTGCACGGAATCACCACGCTGCCTCCACTTGGAATCCGCTATGAAATTTGTAATGTCATTGAACGACCGTGCATTCCGCATCATCAAATTTTTGTTCGGTCTAAACAAATATAAATATGCAAAATAGCTGATGACACTAAAATCACCTAAAACACAGCAATTGCACAACCTAGTATTATTGTGCACGTTAATGCATTCATGCAATTACTTTAAAAAGATATGATCTGAGTTTATAATAGGGCAATTCGCAAAAGAAAATGATAAATTTCTTTTAGAATGGAAGGTGAATAACACGATGCTGCACATATCGACACACGCATCCCACATAGATTTACTTCTAATCTCCATGGTCTTGAATTAGATTGATGAACACAAATTCTTTACATAAATCTAAATTTAAAAAAATTAAAAGAAATAAATTTCAGCAATTCAAAGTTGGTAGCTAGCTCAAACCAGTCAAGACACAAGAAGCAAAAAGACTATGCAGCCCTCAGCAATGGCCAGCAAAATATACAAAAGCCTCTTGTGCAGGAGCATCACAGAGTGGGCTTCAGTGATCATCACTGGGAAGAGACACTCCTCGTCTGATGGGTCCACGTCCGTGACCACTGCCAGCCTAGAGAAGTCACAATCCCACCCGTTCTGATTCTTGAACTGATAGTACATGTTGAAGGCATATGAAGCGTTCCCTCGCGCACTCAGGTGATTGCACGAGGACCCGTACTCTAACGCCGTGCAGTCTGAGAGACTGCACGCGTAGTCCACGTTCCTCGCCAGCTCATCGTCGTTCGATATTTCTTCAACCTCCGGGTTCAAAATGCACCATCTCTTGTGCATGTACACCACCCCTTCTACCGCCACAAGCCCTTTGTTTCTTACCCCCTTACCCGATAAGTCCAACTCATATTTTGGCTTCCCATCGTACTCGAAAATCCCCCAATGCCTCTCGAAGCTCCCGGGAGCGATGCTCTTTGCATTCTCATCGATTAGGCTGAAGAGGTAAAAATCAATTTGTCCCCTCCTAATTTTAATAAAGGAAAAATAAATTATTACTACGTATGTTACTAATGCATAATAATAAACTCAATCAATTTCGTCATGTCTCTTACAACATATATTTTTTAATTTCAATTTAAATTGTGTGTTTACTATTGACGGGATCAAAACTCAACCATGTTCTTTACCCATTATCGTTACCGCTTTTATAAAATAATATTCTGTATATAGTCTTGTCACTTTTGTTTTGTACTCCGTATCTTCTCCATCCCATAAAACTTCTCAAAGACGAAAAACGGTTGTCCAAAAAATTAGTAATTTTGATATTATTTTCTAATGATAACTCATCTATCCTATAAATTATATCTTACCGTATCATAAACTAAGGACAAAATTAAAAACTAATATCAAATTTATACATTTTTAGGAACCTTTTTTCATCTTTGAAAAGTTTTATGAGCGGGAAGAAATAGAATAGTTATATATTTTTTTTAAATATAATTTTTTAAAATTACAAATCAATTCTCAAATAAATTAAAGTCAATCAAACTTGGGAGACAACAAGATGGGCAATTTGATTTAGATTATGCTATGTGTACCCCAAGTTTTGTACCCCGCAGTTTTGCACCAACACTTTGTGTTGGTGTAAAACTAATTTTTGTGAAACGCACCAACATTTGTGTCCGTGTGAATTTTTATTAACGCACCAACACTTGTGTCGGTGTAAACCATCGAAATGTTTGTGCAAACCTGTGGTGTACAAATGGGGTATATTTTTTTGTGTAAGTGTAGCATGGTCCATTTGATTTAGAATGGAGTACCTGATTGGGGTCCCTTCCCCGCTCAAAGCATGACGGATTAGCCCCTGGTTGAACCGCATCGCATTTTGGGCATTCGCATTTTCGTCCCCGTCTGTGGGCCACCCGACTTCCCCGATCACGACCTTCGTGTTGGGGTACCCCGCCTTCCTCAGCGCCCAAATGAGAGTGTCGAGGTTGGCGTCAAACACGTTGGTGTACACCGCAATGCCGTCCCGGACGGGCTTGCTCAACCCGTCGAAAAACGCAAAGTCGACGGGAAAGTAGGCGTTGCTGTAGAGGCTGAGGAAGGGGTAGATGTTCACGACGAAGGGGGCGCCGTTCTGGGTCAGGTATTGGACGATCTGAATCGTGATGTCGCGTATTTCGGGCCGGAAATCTCCGGCGGACGGGACGGGGTTTGAGTCCGGAGAGAAGTAAATGTCGGCATTGAAGGGGACGGTGGCCTTCACCTCTGTCCCTAGCCCAGCTTGGTTTATGGCTTCTTGAATGTTTCTCAGTGCCGGCAATGTGTAAGACACAAAGCTCCCATTGTATGTTTTGAGAAATGGCTCATTTCCAACTGCAACATACCTGGCAAACTATATAACATTACCCTCCTTCTCGAAAAACATTTCTCATTTTGACTATTGATGGAATAAGGACGGTATATTTTGTGATTGACTTTCTAATCTTATCATTGATATAACGATTATATTAATAATATTAAATAGATACTACTACCTCCGTCCCGTGAAACATGAGACATTTGCTTTTTAGGAGGGATTTAAGGGAGTGTATTTTGGTATTGAATTTCCAAAAATGTCCTTTGATGTGATGGGTAAAAGTATGATTTGATGGATAGATTATTGGTAAAAAGGTATGATTTAATAGTTAGGTATGAAAAAGTAAGAGGTAAAAGTGACTTTTTAATAGAAATGAGAAGTATTTTGTGGGACGGATAAAAAAAGAAAGGGGAAATGTTTCACGGGACGGAGGTAGTATGTGATATGCTACTTACTCCCTCCGTCCTATAATGATCTTCCCAGAGCACTATTCCAACTTCACGGGAATTTATATTTATTTGTGTTTTTTCATGGCCTATATGATAAAATAAAATATTCTTGTCACCACTTGTTTTGTTGAACTTTTGATGTAGTTTTTTAAATATGTATGTTTTATTTTTTATTTCTATACCAATATTTAAATAAAATAGATTGAAAAAATTTGAAATTTTTCTTCGTTTTGCGAACCGGGAAGATCATTATATGACGGAAGGAGTAATATTCAGTAGGGTTAAAATAGACTTCCTCTTAGGAAGTAGAACTATTTTGTTGGAAAAGTAAAAAAATTGGACCAGAAGTGTCTTAAGAAGCAAAAGAAGTACTACTATTTTCTAGAATGAAAAATAATGCCCTACTATCCGCTCAAGTAAAGCAATGACTATTCTCCTTGTATCATACTCTATCTCTCTTCTCATTTCGATTTTTCCAATTTTGACCACAATTTGACGAAGAGAAATTTACATAAATAAGATAAAAACATAATGACTTTCTCAATATAGGACCGTATGTTTTTATTTCTCAATGTATGACCTTTGGTCATTAGGAAAGTCATTATGTTTTAGTCCTATTTAGTACAAATTTCACTATACTTATCTATATATAGAGATATCAATTATTAAATTAAATAACTTGTAAATTACTCCCTACTTGGTAAAACACACTATCTAACTCATTTCACTTCCCCTCCACCTATCTATATTGTCACTTTCAAGTGTTTTTTCTTATCTCCTAGACATGTCATTTATCATGTACTTCTGAGACTGAAATCCCCTCTATAAGATCTTGGAAAAGTTGGTATTTCTCGCCAAAGGATGAGATATTGAGATTTCTTGGAGAGAAACATAGAATTCAAGGAACAGTAAACATGAATCCAGCTTGTTCTTGAACCAGAGAATTGAAGTCCCATATACACAACCCAAGAAAGAAAGAAAGAAAGCAGCAGATCAGAGAATAAACTCATCAGAAGAACTATCTGACCTGATTTTGACACCCCCGGGAGAGCAGCAATAGCGGGTGACATTGGCCTCCACCCAAGCAGAGGCAGCACCGGGGTCTTGGCTCATCTCCTGCAACATCAGGTTGGGCAGTGCCAACATAACTTCAATGCCAGTCCCCGCCAGGGCGTCCAGGATCTCGGCATCCGCCTCGAACAGCTTCACCTTGTCGAACCCGTTGTCCTTCAACGCCTTCACGACTTTGCGCGGGGGCAGCTGGTGGGACGACATCGTCCCCCAGTTCACCCCCACGCCCGACCCCTTCGAAACCAGCAGCCCCAGTGCCAAGACCCCAATCAAGAAACCCACACTGCACCACTCTTTGCCCATTCTTAAACGGATGGAATCAAGAAAAGTTAAAAAGTTTGAGTCTTTGGGATTTATTTCTCTTCTAATAATGCAGAGGATAAATGATTAGTTGTGGGAAGATGGGAGTGATCTGAGAGAACTTCATGGAGAAGGTGATGAGAAGAAAATGAGATCCCAAGAATCAGAAAACTAAAGGTACCCAAAGATGCCTTTCTTAATTCAGGTATTCGGTTGTGTCACATTTAGTAGGACATGCAACTTTTGCACTTTATTGTAGTAGATTCAGTAAAGTTCATGCAGTTGTTTCCCTAAATGGATGAAAAAAAAAGAAATAAGAAAAGTAAAGTTGATGCAGTGAGTTGGTATCAGACTAGGAACTAACAGACTTTGTGGCCCGCAGGACCAATAACGGCACTCCCATTGAGCAATTCTCATAAAGCAACTCCAATGAAAGGGTAAAAAAGAATATTTGTGATGTATACTTCTTTTCTTTAAAAATCCTTCTCCAATGGAAGAGGTAAATAAGGAGGTATTATACCTTCTACAATTTTGAAGAGGCGTCTTTACATTCTTTATTTGGAGAGGTATATCAATTTTTCCCATCTTTTAAATTTATTTCATCAATTACTATAGTTATTGTATTTTTTTTGAATGCTATTGACTCTATTACAAGGTAGTATCTGTTCATACTTCTATAGTTATTGTATTTTTGCTTGAATGTATTATTATAAATTTTTAATTTTTATCTTTGTAATTGTAAAACTTAACGAGTCAAGAATTAACAAAAAAATGATACTTTGCTTTTTAATTTTGCACTCTGTATTTTTAAGTTTTTTCTATTCGGGTATTTATAATTTTACATGTGCAATTAGACATAATGTATATTTAATTATTTCAAAACTGACATTCTAATTTTTTTCCCCAATAAATTAGTTGTATTTTTATAAAATCTTTAAATTTAAAATTTTAATCAAGAAGAAACAAAGGCAACAAACCTCAAATTTACCTCCCCATGATTTTTTTAAGAATGTATATTTTCTTTTCTAATAATTAAAATTTGATTTAAAAAGGTAAATCAACTAAATTTTTTCCAATAATGTATGGAGATGGATTTTTTTCCCTCTTTTTATCTTTTGATTTATCTTCCCCCATTGGAGTTGCACACTTTTTGAAAAAAAGGTAAACTTGATCATTTGGAGAGGTAAATGAGATATATACCTCTCCAAGATACATCTTACCATTGGAGTTGCTCTACGGGGCAGTTGTAAGAAATCGAACTTGGTGATTAGTATTGTTATTTCTAATGCACTTGTAAAAAATCAAACTCTAGCGTTTCTTCACTGACATTGCTTGTCTTACCAGTTGCGCAATGCCTAGGTATGGATCACATTTTATGTAGACATGTAGTGTCCTCTTTATTATTTAAGGTTTCTAATATTTTGTTTATTTCATTAAAAAAAGGCATGTCACTATTTATTTTGTAAAATTTTTTATTCAATTTTTAAATATGTACTTTTTTAAACCAATGTGTAAATAAAATTATTTTTTTATGCCCTAAATGCTTTTAATCGGACTGCTTTCCAACGGAAGGTGGCGTGTTTCCATACTCACGCAGTCTCGCTTTTATCCACAAGTACCACACCTTTCTTTTACGGACTACTTTTTTATTTCCTTGTCAAAGCTTTTACCCAATACTTTTTTGCTTTTTGAATGCTTTAATAATTAAAATGACATGGAAAAGATTTTATTGAATCTACACTGTTTTTACATGGGATTGGTTGGCATATTTACAGCCTTTGCAACAAAGCAAAAACAATCAAAACTGAACTGCTTGTCACTCTCAAAATGTTGGGTCAATGGTCAAACGGGTTGGTCACTAATTGAACTGCATTCACAGGAATTACAGGCAGCATGCTATAAAGCAAAAAGATTGAAATTTCGTAACATGCCTCATTAATCAAAGTTTAAGTCCAAAGTTTGACATTATATGTTTTACATACATACTGTTCTATATTAATTGTCTATGGCTCCGTTCCATTCAACTTTTTTCCTGATCTGATTTTTTGTAGTTTTGATATGATCTAATCTGATTCGATCTGATCGTATCTGATCTAGTCTGATACGATTGGATATGATCTGATCTGATTAATTATGATTTGACTTAAAATTCAAATCAATAATTAATTTGACTTTATAATAACTTTTGAAAATTGTAATGATAATCCATATTACTCCCTCCGTACCTGAGTATTTGTCCACTTTTGATTTTTTCAGTCAAAATTGGTAAACTTTGGCCTCAAATTAAATAAAAATGATACTCCGTATTAGATATTGATACAAAAAGAGTTTTATCAGATTTATTATATCAAATATTTTTAAAATATTATTTTAATTAATTAAAATACAATGTATATTTTATTTAATTATAGGTCAAATGTTGAAAACAATTGACCGAAAAAAGTCAAAACTGGAAAAATACTCCGGGACGGAGGTAGTATATATAATATAATCAACATTTTTATTTTATGATTATTTACACTAAAATATACTCCGTATATGAATATCAAATGTTAATTTAATTTAAGTCTTAATCAAAGCTGATCAACTTGATATAGTAAAAGATCAATACTTAAGAAACTCAAATGACAGGTACTAATAAAAATATATTTTAAAAGTAGACTAAGATTGACATTGTTAATGTATTTTAAAAATAATTTTTCCGACTTCTAATAATTAAGGATTACATTCTTAATTTTCTATTTAACTTGTTTCTAAAGTTTATTCTTTTCCATTTTTAAGAAAAAATTGTGCTTCATATCATTTTATTTTTCTCTACATAAATTATAATCACAGAGAAGTTTCATTTTCTTTCTTCTTATATTTTTTCAAGAGAAGTTAAATTTATTCTTTGAAAGAATCGTATCAAATGAAACAAATAAAAAGTACGTATGGAATTTAAAATAATAATAACAATTTTTGATTGGATCTGATCTGATTTAGTCCGATCTAATTGGATCTGGTCTGATCTGATTTTAATGAGAATAAGAAAAAAGCAGAAAAAATAAGTTGAACGTAACACGGTCTAAGTTACATAGAGAGATATTGTATGTCCACGTTTATGAAACACATGATATCAAACTTTGATGCTAAAATATACTTCCTCTGTCTCGTAATGGATGTCCCACTTCGAACAACGTGTAAAAAGTATAAATTATACCGTTCAAAAGTATTTAAAAAATTCTATAAAACAAGATATGACAAAAATATTAATTTTATATATCTAACTATAAATTAAAAAATGCAAATAAACAAAAGTTATCGAAAGGTTGTAAGGGCATTTACAATGGGGGGCATTTCTGCCCCACCCCAACTCTTGCCACATCAACTCCACTAACCTTCGGCCCCGCCTCAAAATCTTGCAATAATATCGCTCTGAAACCCACATCTCCATTTTTTTACATTATTCATCATTTTTCCATTCCAATTTTTTTAAGAAAACAAAATACACAGGATCAATATAAGAGTGCTAATTAGATTGACACTATTTATTAAAAACAACATTGAAATAAAATACAAAATACAACAAAATATTATTAAAATTTTAAAAATAAACGAAAAACATCAAAATAACACACAAAATAAACAAAAATTAATGCTTCAATCAAGTATTGTGGCGCCTCTAAATTTCTTCCATAAAATCATCCTAAGAAATAAAGAAATCACCACTAATAGGAGTAAAACATAGCCTATATATCCAAAATAGGAGTGCTATGTTTTATACCCGAAATAGGACTAAAATTATTTTCTTTAAAACAAATCGCACACACGCGCACTTTATGGAGACTTTTTATGATTTTCGGCAAAAAAAAAATCTCATGCGCAGCATCTTTCATTCTCGACCGACTGTGTCCCTTTGGCCTCTTTCCATTGAATTGTTTGATCATTCTTTATGTTCTTGGGTTCTTTGGAATCGTCTCTAACAAGGGTTAATCAATTCAAGCTCTTCCTTGTTGATTTGTGGATGAAATTCACAAAATTGAAGATTAAAATCCATGAGCTAACTATTCAATTGGAAACCTTACACCGTGGATTCACTACGATTTTGTCCAAATTGAAGGCCAGGCTTGAGGGATTAGGAGCGACTAGAGATGCTGATTGAGAATCCAAAGTTGGTCTGAGATTCGTTTCTACCAAGGTTCATGCTTCGTCTCCTTCAAGCTTTTGGTGTTTTGGGGTATTGTTTAGGGGCCTTTCACTTTTTCTAAAGGATGATTTCCCTAATTGGATTGTTGTACATGTTCTTATGTTCCAGTGTTGTTCTTATTTTATATTCGGGTTTGAACTTCTGGTTTGAGGCTTGGGCTATTGAAGTGTTGTTTGAGTGATTTATGAATTTTGCTAGAACCATGCAACTAATTAAATTGAAGAAGACGGGGAGGCTTTTGGGGGTGAGTCTCTTTGAAGATGTGAAGGAACTTGTTTGTTGTTGTTGTACAAGTCCTTGGTCACTACTTTGGACTTTTGGTGAGAACCTTTGAGGAGAATGCAGCTTTGGAGCTACTAGTTTTGAGGTCTTGCAGTACCTCAAAGTGTTCTTGCCATTCTTGGAGTGTTTTGTCCTATGACACTACGGTTGTTGTTTGCTAAAAGTTGGCGACCTTTGTCGAACAACACCTTGGATGGGAAGGGCTATTGTTGAGTCTATACCGATAGCTTTTGCCCACCTTGCCATCTGATCCATTGCCACCATCGCCAAGTTCCTTGGGGACCAGGATGTTGGTTTCCTTCCAGCTTGATGGAGGTTGGGGACAAAGTTTGATTTCAGTAGTGGGTTACGGGCCACTTTCCAACCATCTTCTTGGTTGGGTTTAGGGCTTTTCGGTGCAAAAGGATGCTGGCCTAGTTATGCTATGTTGGTCTCCATTTGTGTGCTATGCATATTGAGTGGGCATGGCGTTAGTGGCCTTTCCAATGCCATCGTCGCCCCTGCCCTCACCCCTCGTTGCCTCTGCCCTCACCCCTCTTCACCCCTGCCCTCACCCATCGTGCAATGTCATCGTCGCCCCTGCCCTCACCTCTCTTTGCCAGTGTTGGGGATAGTTAGTCTTTTGGCCACCATAAAGGGGGCCGTAAAAGAAGTGATGGTCATTAGTATTGCAGGGTAGAGGTAAGGTTGGGTTTGGAACTATGGCATTATATATGGGAAACTGTGGCATTGTATATGGACAACCATGGCATTGTATATAACTACATGAGAAG